CCGGCCCGACCCCGCCGCCCGCACAAAATGTCGGCCCGGACGCCATTGCCGACGGTGAACGAGCGGGACACGGAGAACGTGAGTAATCCGAGCCTCCCCGGGGAGCGGCGGGGGCGAGACCCTGAGCCGACCCCCGCTTCACCCTCCGCCGGGCCGCCGCCCCCCTCCCCCCCTCGGTCCCCCGAGCGGCCGCCGCGGCACCGTCTCCACCTGGAGCCGGCGTGCCCCTCGCCCGCCGCTCAGCCCCCTTTTTCATTCCAACCCCATTTCGCTGTTTTCCCCTGCAGGGCGAGGGCGGAGGCTGTACGGGGAGCCCTGTCCTCGGGGTGGTCCTCCCGGAGAGGATGGGCGGATGGAGGGCAGGGAGGCAGCGGCGAGGGCAGAGTGGGCATCCCGGATTGCTGTATTTGTCCCTCGGCATGCTGTATCCCCACCCGAGGGTTCGCTCTACGGTCGCGGGCGAGCCAGCTGACTACCTCTTCCCCCCTCGCTCTTCTGGCCCTTTCAGCCCTCTGCACCCCCACCCCCCTGCATTGCCCCATGACTTTGCTTTTTGTAACATCGTGTCCCATTTTGGGTCGTGGGCACCGCAGGGGGAAGGTCGCAATGGAAGGGGCAGAGTGGTAGTAGAGATGGATGTGTGTGTTTGTGTAGATGAGTTCCTGCTGCCGAGATACTCTTTGGGAGGGATGAGTAGAAGAATTTCCCGGACAGCCTCTGTGGCCCTGGGGTTACAGCAAAACGTTTAAAAGCCGGAGGAAGGCAGCGGCTTTTTATTCTCTTCCCCAAGTCAGTGGTGGTAATTCAGGGCAGGTTTTACTTTAAATATCTCTCCTCCTTCTTGGAGTGTCACACGGTGCATTTCTTTGAAGGAAGGATTTTCTGTGTCTTTGATCAAATTGCCCTCAGGAGTTTTTATCTGGATGCAGATGTCCCTGGTGTTTAAACTCTTGAAAATCAAAAGGACCGGATCAGTTCTATTCCCACCTTCTGAAAAAGTACAGTTGTGTGTGTGTGTGTGTGTGAGTTTCTTTGTGGAAAAGGTTTTTTTTTTTTTCCTCGTTTTTGTGTGTGTGTGTGTGTGTTTTTTAAAACCTTCATGACTTGTAAATAGGGCCTTGGTTTTTTAAGGGGTTTGGAGGGTACCAAGTTTAGTCGGCTGTCCAGATCTCTGGTTGTCGATTTAACTCAGACTCCAGTCTTGGAGTACCATGCCGTCATAAGGTTGGTAAAATAAAATATGAGTGCTTTGGCGTTCTTAGACAAAAGGTATGAGGGAGAAGATAGGAGCTCACCTCTGAAGTGTTGGCGGCTGGTATAAACAGATTATTTAATCTTGGGAGAGTAGGGGAACACAGAAACTTAATATAATTACATGAAGGGAGAAGAAATTCTAGTAAGGGACTATTGTTAGAAAAAGCTGGGAAGGTATTTCAGAGTGTGCTTTTGTCCTCCCTAGTATTGTGCATTGAAAATGGTAAACACAGTGTGAGGCTGTAGCAGAAATTATAATAACTTCATTTTGCATCGTGAGTGTTGTTTAAAAATATCTATATAATTGATGCATAATTTTGATTGGGAGATTGAAGGAAGGTCAGGGGAAAAGATGAAAAATTTGGTTAAAGTTGATCTTAAAGTCAAGTTTTGAAACAGAATGTTTCTAACAGGAACTCTAAAAAGATTCCTGTCATTAGCGTGTCATTTCAGTGAATGAAAAGTAAGAGGGACGATGACCTCTGTTTTTATTAACAAAGCACTGTGTGTTAACCTAGGAAGGGTGGAAAAATACATTGTTTTTATTTTCTTTTGGTGTTTGGATAGTATAGCTCTTTCCATACTTGCATGAAAAAGGTACTTTTTAAGGATATGAGAGCATTATAGGAATATGCATCAAGGAATAGTACAAAATGCAGCATCACATGTAAGACCCCCCCCCCAAACCCAATGGATTTTTAAGCTAAGCAATATCGTGTGATAAATTTTTTTGTACCTTCTGAAAATAATTATGTTGTATAAACTCACTTGCTCTGATTCTGAACATGTTATTTCAAAGTCACTTTTATGGTCTTGTCCCCTGTCCTTGTGTTGTACCTGACTGTATCTCCACGTATCTGACTTTATCCAATTCTAATTTTCTCCTAATTGCCTAATATCTCCCAATTTGTCGAAAATATCTATTACAGTATGGCTGTTAACTAATCAGTAAATGTGCACTCAGCTTTGCTTTTGAGCTGGTCGGGATACGGAAGTATTATTTAAGATAAGGCCTCTCCCCTCAAGGAGCTTACGGGAAAAGTAAATATAATCCCAAACAAATAGTGTACAGAAGAAAACTGTGTATATAGGGCTAACTTGGTTTGTAAGTGCTATAGGCATTTATCAAAGGTACCACCAGAGATGGCTATTAAATCATTGTTGGTGTCTGTCTTTATTCTCTGGTTAGTAGTAAATATCATAATCCATTCTTACTTACCTCTCATCAGTGAAATAAAGAACAAGCCTGCTTGTTAGCTAATATATTAATGCCAGTATGGCAATCAAAACGTACATTTGTTTGTAGTCGTTTTCAGTTAAGGTGACGTATTTTTGAAAATAGTTGGGAAAATTTATATTCATATGACCATAAAGACTTCAAGTCCTTTGGAATATTAAGGGCATAACTAAAAACATTCTACCACTGCTAGAAATGTTTTAATTTAAACAGATATGGCAATTTTAAAAACCATCTTTGTATTTTATTGTCATTTGCAGTTAATATGAAATTTTGTTTAGTCATATGTGAATATATTTGGACTTTGTATTTTTGGGAATATGTAATACCTAGCCCATATATGCCGCTAATATATGTTGAGGATAAATTAAGAAATTCAAAAGAGGAATGTTAACAGCACCGATCTCTTATTACTACTATGGTATGTAGTAGAGTGAGAAAGAATTGCTTTTTTTTTTTTCCCCCAGAACATTCTGTGTGCACTTTTTCAGATGAAGGATTTGTGCATTGATAGGCCTGAATTGGCTAAATACCACAAAACAACCAATGATGAACTTCTAACACAGTAAACACTTCATAGTGAAGTAGAGAAAGTAGAAAAGGGGCCCCTGGGCAGCTCAGTCTGTTAAGCGTCTGCCTTTGGCTCAGGTCATGACCCAAGGATCCTGGGATCAAGCCCCACACCGGGCTTCCTGCTCAGCAGGGAGCCTACTCCCCCTGCTTGTGCTCTCTCATGCACTCTTTCTCTGTCAAATAAATTAATAAGATCTTTAAAAAAAAAAAAAAGGAAAAGAAAAAGTAGAAAAGATATGTTACAGATCATAGAATTAATTTACGCAAAATGCGTTTGATTTTAGGTTGTAAAGAGTCTGGAAAAAGAATGGGCATTTGAAATATTTTTTTTTCTTCTCAAATTATACTTGGATAGTTCCAGCATGAATGTAGATAATATATTAACAGTACTCTTAGATGCTTTTAAATGAAGCAAGATAAATTGTTTTTCTGTGTTTTAGGAAAGCTCTGATTATGCTGATTTTTATGGATCCAAAATGCCCAGACTAGCTTTTTGTGGTGAATTTTAATTAGTATGAAGAAAATTGATTTGACTCTTTGGGATGTTTTGAATCTTTTAATAATAAAACTCGAAGGTGATTCTTTTGATAGATCTGAAACTCACTGTGATGACCATCGCAAGTGCTTAGTGTATCTACAGTGGCCATCAGTAGTTTGTCCTGTGGGAATCATTGCTAATGATGTGAAAAGGCAGGAAGAGAAGCAAGCCTTTGCCACTACCCTTGGGTTGCTCAGTACCCTGTGCATGCCTCACAGGTCACCATACTTACCACACCGCATTCTAATCACTGACTTACTTTGTCCCCTTTATTCTGTATCCCCAGCACCCAGCACAGTGACTGGTAGTCAGTCATATGGAAGACATCAGTGCTGGAACATTCCCCTTTTGAATTTTTTCATTTATCATCAAAGTATCTTAGTGACACTGGGGAAGGTAAGTATTGCACACTGCAAACGGAGGCAGAAGCCTTCAGAAAGTTATGTGACCTGCCCAAGGTATAATCTCTGACACCTTCCACTGTTGCTGTACTCGTGTTATTGCTTCTTAGAGGTGCTATTTTGTTTTGTTTTGTTTTGGTCTTAGAAATTTTAAAAGAATAAATGAAATGATATAAAATGCATCATTAGAGTAAGAACAGGGTATGCTGTGCTTATCTATATTTTGAACCTTTGCTCTTTTCTGTGTCTGGAGTGCCCTGCTCTTTCCCCCCTATCCCCAACTCATAAATCCTTAATGGGATGGCTCATCTTTCTAAGAAAAATTCTGAATTGGTTACAGAAAGGATTGCTGTCTGCTGTAGCTGAATGTCTGTCTCTGTATAATCCACACTACTGGTCTCCAAAGTGGGTGTGCAGGACAATCCATTGTGAGAAAAACATCTCTACCTTCTATTCCTGTCTGGCCAAAATGCTATTATGAACTCTTCTTCTTCTTCTTCTTCTTCTTCTTCTTTTAAGCCCAGGTTGTTTAAAATCAGCCACATGGGGAGGGGGAGTTAAGATGGCGGAGGAGTAGGGGGACTCTAAGCTTGCCTCCTTCCTTGAATAAAACTAGAAGCAGCCAGTGGTTTTTAAATTATTATTTTTTAACCATTTCTTCTTTCTTCTCAGACTTTCCTTTGGGGGTCATTTTCCCATTGCCCAATGAACACCTTTGAAGTTCTTTTAGTAAAGGATTGTTAATCATAAAACTTTTCTTTTTTAAATCTGAAATATATTTTGCCCTTATTATTCAGTGATAGTTTTGCTCAGTCTCCAATTCAAAATCAACAGCTATTTTCATTCATTGCTCCAAAGATAGTATCCCGTGGTCTGGGCTGATTTCCATTGTTTCTGTTCAGAAGTCATCTGCCATTAAGTTGGTGATCTTTTCAGGATGCCTGGGTGGCTCAGTTGGTTAAGCCTCTGCCTTTGGATCAGGTCATGATCCCAGGGTCCTGGATCAAGTCCCACAGCGAACTCCTGGCTCATCGGGGAGCCTGCTTCTCCCTCTGCCTGCCGCTTCCCCTGCTTG